GGTCACGAAGAGTCGGACACGACTAAACGACTAAACAACAACAACAACAAAGGTAAAGGGACCGACTCTGGGGTTGCGGGACATCTCGCTTTATTGGCCGAGGGAGCCGGCGTTTGTCTGCAGACAGCTTCCGGGTCATGTGGCCAGCATGACTAAGCTGCTTCTGGTGAACCAGAGCAGCGCGCGGAAACGCCGTTTACCTTCTCGCTGGAGTAGTACCTATTTATCTACTTGCACTTTGACCTGCTTTCAAACTGCTAGGTTGGCAGGAGCAGGGACCGAGCAACGGGAGCTCACCCTGTCACAGGGATTCGAACCGCCGACCTTCTGATCGGGAAGTCCTAGGCTCTGTGGTTTAACCCACAGCACCACCTGCGTCCCTACTATACACTTACTTGGGTGTTAAGTCCCATGAATATCATTGGACTTGAGGGCAGTGCACAGGGTCACACTCTGATTTGGAATTGCTCTTGCCCTGACTTTTCTCTGGTTTGTTTTAATAGATCAGGGCATCAGTCTTCCTTGTGTTATAATATAAAAAATCAGGCCCTCTGCAACATTTACTGTGTTTATGACATAGGGTGCCACTTCAGACTTCCTGACTCCAGAGATAGCAAGGAGGTTCCGTTGATAAACGATTTGGCTACCAGGGAAACCCGTTTATCTGTTCCCCCAGGGTTGTATTTGCCTCCAGACAAACACGGATGCCTGTTTAGGCTTAATTTATGACAACTTGGAATTGGTAAGATTAAACTTGTTTGTCCCAAATGTAGGAATTTGCGCTATTCACCTCACATAGGCATGGTGATAATCCTGGGGAACAAATACTGACTTGCATATTTCAAAGGCATCTGTTGATGCCCCCTTCTGCACATTCTCTCATTTTGCATGCACATCTGGAAGATGTGCAACTAATCCAGAATGCGGCAGCCAATCGTTCTCATTGCACTGTTTATGCTGTCATTGTTTTCTCGCACAGCTTTGTGTTATATCATATTGTTTTCATATAATCCGACAAAATATTTATTACATTTTTTTTTACTTACAAGTATTATTCAAGTGGGACGCGGGTGGCGCTGTGGGTAAAAGCCTCAGCGCCTAGGGCTTGCCGATCGAAAGGTCAGCGGTTCGAATCCCCGCGGCGGGGTGCGCTCCTGCCAACCTAGCAGTTCGAAAGCACTCCCGGGTGCACTCCTTAGGGTAGTGATAAAGCGGGATATCAAATACACACTACCCAGGCTTGTACCCCAGGAACGTCACTTCGGAGCTGCGAACACATTGGTTTTTCTTCACCCTTGGACGCATTCTCCATCGTCTCTTGAGACAGACAGATGCCAACAAATAGGCACACACATCAAAGTCTCTTTACACCTTTACATTGCTCTCAAAGAAACAGCTTGAATGTTTTGTGGAACATCAGATCAAGGAATTGGTAAGGTCTCTATTGCCTGTTGGATTAGGAGGGGAGAGCTTAACTCTCACAGTCTTAAAAATCCCAGTCCTAACCTTGGATCCTGAACTCCTTCCCTTCATTCAAATGCAGGATCACACTGATTAAAAGCTGAGAAAGGTATAACTTTGCTCCTATCCCGATATACATAGGAAAGGAAGATGGCTGCCGAATGCTTGAAGCAGGGTTTTGAGCCCTGTGTTCAGAGTTCATAAACCAAGTTATGCTCTCCTACTTTGTTTCCTTTTAGCCTAGGGTCTCTTATTTCTTTAGACTAGGAGTCTGAATATATTAAGATACTGGCTTCAATGTACTTACAATTTTATGTTTATGCTGCATTGTATTAGCCAATTTATGATTAATTTATTTGTTACTTTATAACAAAGAGGCTTCCCTTGGATGTTCCAAAGAAACCTTTGATGTGGTAAGAGTTAATGGTTTAAACACATTTTCTGAACAAGCGCTCCGTCTGAAAGTTCCCTTCTCTTATAAACATGTCTTAGGATCAGGAGTGAAAGAAACACACACACATTTCCCTTTAAAAATAAAATAAAATAACACTGTGTATAAGGTTCTTTATCCACATGGCATTTGATTTGCCAAAAATATTGTTTTGCCTAGGTGGGGCAGGGTGAAAATCTACAGACATTTTGTGTGTGTGCACGTGTGATTTTTCTTTTTCAAAAAAAAGCATGCCACAAATGGGGAGCCACCACCGATAAAGCCTTCTCATGAGACAATGGCAGCTAGGCAATAACCCTGCCAATTGTGGGGCCGAGATGGTTGATACTGGGGAAAGCACTCGTTTAGGTACTTGGGTCCCAAGTCACTTAGGGCCTTGTATGATAGTACTGCTCCCTTGAATTGAGCCAAGTAGCTCACTGGCAGCCAGTGCAATGCTCTCATGACTGATGACACATGATCGCATTGGGCTGTCCCACTTATCCACCTTGCAGCCACATTCTGCACTGGCTACAACATCTGGATCATGTTCAAGGGCAGCCCCATGAAGAGCGCATTACTGTAGACCAGGTGGGAGGTCACCAGATCATGAGCAACTGAGGCCAAGCTGTCTTGACCCAGGAATGGCCATATCTGGTGAAGCAACCTAAGCTAGATTTAAGCACTCCTTGAAGCCACTTGAGACTCCAGTGGAAAGCTGGAATCCGCTCACAAATTACAAACCTCACAAAGTTCTCTCAAATTACAGTGGTACCTCAGGTTACATACGCTTCAGGTTACAGACTCCCCTAACCCAGAAATATTGCTTCAGGTTAAGAACTTTGCTTCAGGATGAGAACAGAAATTGTGCTTCGGCGTCATGGCAGCAGCAGGAGGCCCCATTAGCTAAAGTGGTGCTTCAGGTTAAAGAACAGTTTCAGGTTAAGAACGGACCTCCGGAACGAATTAAGTATGTAACCCGAAGTACCACTGTACAAACCTTTTCCTGGGGGGGGGGGGGTGCGACCCCTCCCAGAACAGGCCGTACATCTAATTCCTGAACACACCCACAACACTTTGGTCTTATCAGCCTCAATTTATTGGCTCCCATTCATCTTGTCGGGACGCGGGTGGCGCTGTGGGTAAAAGCCTCAGCGCCTAGGGCTTGCCGATTGAAAGATCGGCGGTTCGAATCCCCGCGGCGGGGTGCGCTCCCGTTGTTTGGTCCCAGCGCCTGCCAACCTAGCAGTTCGAAAGCACTCCCGGGTGCAAGTAGATAAATAGGGACCGCTTACTAGCGGGAAGGTAAACGGTGTTTCCGTGTGCGGCTCTGGCTCGCCAGAGCAGCGATGTCACGCTGGCCACGTGACCCGGAAGTGTCTCCGGACAGCGCTGGCCCCCGGCCTCTTGAGTGAGATGGGTGCACAACCCTAGAGTCTGTCAAGACTGGCCCGTACGGGCAGGGGTACCTTTACCTTTACCTTTATTCATCTTGTCACTGCTTCCATACACTGATCTACCTTCCAGCTTCTCCTGATTCTGACGGAATGGAAATAGAGAACTGTGTGTCACCGCTCTACGGCTGTTAATGTGGGGTGGGGAAATGGCTGTGGGTGGGTGGGTGAGCAGAACGAGCAGGGGCACAGCCCCTAGTTTTCTCATATCCAGAGAAGAAAATTACCAGCTTCATTTCCAGCTAAAATATTAACACTGTGCTCCATTGAATCGCTGTCAGCCCAATCCTATGCTTGCTTATGATTTGGCAGCAGTCCCAATTTATTCAATGGGGAACTTCTGAATACCTCGGCAGAGATTTGCAGCTTCAGGTTACTGGTGAGAATGGCAAGAGAGATTAAGCTTTGTGCAGAAATAATTTTGCTGTTTTGTACATTACAGCTCTCTAAATCTCCTTCAAATATGGCCGACCATGCCAGAAATATTTTCACAGAGCCCTTTTAAAATTTGATAATAATATAGCAGTGGAATAGATAAAGAGTATTTATCTCAGCAGCTATAAATTTTGGCTGACCTTTAGAAGCCATTTAGAGAAGGCACTTACTCCTTTGACTTTGATTGAAGATTATTTGTGGAAGGCAAATGGATGCCAGCGTGTATATACCACTGGAATATGTGCCAAATGTGGTTATTCATGCCAAAGGAAAGGAGTAATGGCAAAACCAAGCCACTCTGCTCTGGGTTTTCTCTGCCTAGATTACTAGTTTGGAATGAAGTTAATATGGAAGACCTTCCATCTCCCCCCACCCCCACCCAGGACAACAGACTAAACTAGTTGGCCCCATATGCAAGTCTTTGCCAGTCCCACAACAGCTTCCATTTTTTAATGCCATATATTTTAAGATTAGGAACGTGGGTGGTGCTGTGGGTTAAAGCACAGAGCCTAGGACTTGCCAATCAGAAGGTCAGCGGTTCGAATCCCCGCGACGGGGTGAGCTCCCGTTGCTCAGTCCCTGCTCCTGCCAACCTAGCAGTTCAAAAGCACGTCAGAGTGCAAGTACTGTAGATAAATAGGTACCTCTCCGGCAGGAAGGTAAATGGAGTTTCCGTGCGCTGCTCTGGTTCGCCAGAAGCGGCTTAGTCATGCTGGCCACATGACCCGGAAGCTGTATGCCGGCTCCCTCGGCCAATAAAGTGAGATGAGCGCCACAAGCCCAGAGTCGGTCACGACTGGACCTAATGGTCAGGGGTCCCTTTACCTTTACCTTTATTTTAAGATTATGAATGGCTCACACATCACCACTGCCCTGATACAGCTCAGTGTTCCCTTACCACTGCCCCCCCCCCCCCACATGACATGCTGCTGAATGTAAGGAGGATCTGTATACCTGAAGGAGAGTCCCTGGCAGGTGGCTCTCCAGCCTCTGATTCAGTACAGTGGAACCTTGGTTCTCGAACGGCTTAGTTGACGAACAAATAGGAAAACCCAGAAGTAAGTGATCCGGTTTTCAAACATTTTTCAGGAGCCGAACGTCCAACGTGGCTGTTGGCTATTGTTTCTGGGGCGCCTGTGCCAATCGGAAGCCGCGCCTTGGTTTTCGAACGTTTCGGGAGTTGAACTGACTTCTGGAACAGATTAAGTTCGAGAACCAAGGTTCCAATGCACCTCCAAACAATGCTGCCATGGGTGTGATGATGGCCATTTTCCGAAAAAGGTTGACTCAAAATAGGAATAAACCCAACTATCTCCATGGAGCCCCATTCAGATGATATCCTCCCCTGCCCCTCCTCCTCCATTCCACATTACAGCATCTAAGCAACATAGTCAATACTTAAATTATTAGGGGATGGAGCAGAAGACCCCATTTGCTACTGTTGAAGGCTACTGGGAGGGGGATACCCTTTCATGCATGAGCAGCACTGATCCTCCAATAAATACTAATGTGGAAGCACCCATAAAAGTCTGAAGTCATAGAACTGTAGAGTTGGAAGAGGTCCCCAAGGGTCATCTAGTCCAACCCCCTGCAATGTAGGAATCTCAACTAAAGCATCCGTGACAAATGACCGTCCAACCTTAAAAGGAAGGATTAAAAACCTTCAAGGAAGGAGAGTCCATAATCTCCCCAGGGAACTATGCTATTTGCATGTAATTTTTCTAAAGAAGAAACATTTCTCCCCTTCCTACATTTCCAATTTTGAAATGGAAATTTTCCAATTTCGTACCAGCCGCAACTGGGATATTTAGTTGCTTAAAATTTCTTATTTCCCTGTATTTTAAACACAAACAACTGTATGGCATAGAAGACCCTCTCTCAAATATTGTAACCATTTTCTGTAAATGTTTGCTGATTCAGCCAAATATTTTTTTTCAGATCCCAATCCACTTCTACTTGAAATAATTCAGTAGCACAATAGCTGTGTGGCTTTTTGTGTATGTTTTTGTTCCTTAGTAACTTTGGAGCTACTGTAAATCAAAGTCTTAGATTGAGCAACTTGTACATAACCTTCACTTGTTTTCCTGGTATCTCTGGCTTGTTTGTACTGTGAATGATGGATGAAAAGATGCATGTTCATATTCACATCAGTTATTGATGTTTACTAGCCATACAGTCAAACCAGTGCAATATATATATGTGTGTATTATATGTGCATAATATAAGTGTATTATATCTCCATGCATCCATGTTGCCCTCCCCCCCATCTATTCAAAGATGAATTGGATGATTTCATGAACAGCTGCAACAGGTTAAATATTGCTGTGAATTTCAGAAGCGTTGTACAGCTTAATTATCTAACAGACCCACTATCTAAAAAGAGGTGTTAGGCTAAGCTGTCGTGTCTGACAACCCCTAGAGCTGGTAGGGTGGCCTGTGCCCAAAGTGGCCATGTAGGCAGGGCCAATGTGGTCACATGGGCAGGCCAAAGTTCTGGTTTTCTTCCCATTCTCATTCTATGCAAAGGTGTAGACACTACAGCCCTCAGTGCCTAACTCACCTGAAAAATGTCCAACCTTCACTATTTGAAAATGATTCATAGATGGTACCTAACTCTGAGTAGGTTGGCTATGATATATAAAGTACCATCAGATATGTGTTGGACATGTAAAGAAAAGGAGGGGGCCTTTTTTCATATGTGGTGGACATGTAAAAAAGTAAAAGAATATTGGGAAATGATTTATAATGAGTTGGAAAAAATGTTTACAATTACCTTCCCCAAAAGACCAGAGTCCTTTTTATTAGGAATAACCCTGACAGAAATTCCTAGGTGTCAGAAAAGCTTATTTATGTATGTAACAACAGTGGTCTGTGTTTTGTTAGCCCCCAAATGGAAAATAAGCGAGGTCCCAGACAAAGAGGATTGGCAACTTAAGATGTTAGGATATGCAGAACTTACAGGTTTAACACATAGAATAAAAGAACAAGAAGAACTTATATTTAAAGAAGAGTGGAAAACACTTACTGAATATATGGAAAATAATGATCTCTCTCTCTCTCTCTCTCTCTCTCTCTCTCTCTCTCTCGTGTGTGTGTGTGTGTGTGTGTGTCCAACCTTGGTTTAGAAGTGGTCCCTGCTGTCACAATGTCTAGTATGGGATAATGTTGCAATAACCATATATTACTCAGAAGTAAGCCCAATTAAATTCCATGGGGATAGCTCCCAGATAGGACTGGAGCCTGAACTGGTTAGTCTTAAAATCCTCC